CTACTCCAGTAAAGGTAAGAACTGGTGTATAAAAATACTGAATTGATATTTTTTCTCAATGAATAACTACTCCAGTAAAGGTAAGAACTGGTGTATAAAAATACTGAATTAACAGTTGTTCTCAATTAATAGTTACTCCAGTAGAGTTAACAACTGGCGTATAAAAATACTGGATTGATAGTTGTTCTCAATGAATAACTATTCTAGTAAAGTTAACAACTGGTGTATAAAAATACTAAATTAACAGTTCTTCTCATTGAATGGACTACAGTATCATGATCTACTTTAGCATCACTTGAAACAATTGTGAACAGATGTCTACATTATTAACAATTAGAACTGAAGTGGACTTCAAGAATGATCCGTATATACATTATTAACACTTAGAACTGAAGTAGACTTCAAGAATGATCCGTATATACATTATTAACACTTAGAACTGAAGTAGACTTCAAGAATGATCTGTATATACATTATTAACACTTAGAACTGAAGTAGACTTCAAGAATGATCTGTATATACATTATTAACACTTAGAACTGAAGTAGAATTCAAGAATGATCTGTATGTACATTATTAACACTTAGAACTGAAGTAGACTTCAAGAATAACCTGTATATACATTATTAACACTTAGAACTGAAGTAGACTTCAAGAATGATCTGTATATACATTATTAACACTTAAAACTGAAGTAGACTTCAAGAATGATCTGTATGTACATTATTAACACTTAAAACTGAAGTAGACTTCAAGAATGATCTGTATGTACATTATTAACACTTAAAACTGAAGTAGACTTCAAGAATGATCTGTATATACATTATTAACACTTAGAACTGAAGTAGACTTCACGATTGACCTGTATATACCTTTTTAACACTTAGAACTGAAGTAGACTTCACGAATGACCTGTATGTACCTTATTAACACTTAAAACTGAAGTATACTTCAAAAATGATCAGTATTTACCTTTTTAACACTTAGAACTGAAGTAGACTTCACGAATGACCTGTATAGCTATTTTGTTGATCAACTGTTTAAAAATTCCAATGCACATGTTACATGGAATTATCAACTGCTGAATTCTTTCAGTATACATTAATTATTTTAAAAACTTTAATATGTCTACACATCTGTATTTTTTATTTTGAGCACTTTTTTAAGTTACTGTCTCTAATAGCAACTTTTAAAACTGCAAATGTACAAGCTTTCTAGTTCATTAAAACCCACCTCCAGCATTTATCGCCAAATAATAACTAACAGGACAGTGAAAAATAATGAGCACTTAAAAAACAAAGGTGTAAACAGGGAATCAACCCATACAATTTCAAGACAGTAAGAATAACAAATACAATCTAGTAAGAAAATTATCAGTAACATTAAAAAGAAAAAAGAAATTCAGTTTCCATCAAAGTATACTACGTTTTTTTAAATTATCTCATGCATGTATCTTTCATCTCCTATGCTTAAAGAAGTTACATTTTCTTTACCAGATTTCAAGTTGCTTAAAAGAGCAGGTTGGTCTTTGCACTTTCCTGAGTTTTGTGCATCTTCAATGACAAGCATAAACACTTCTGCAACAAGTTCTGCTTTGCCAGTCATGGTCTTGGCAAGCACCTTAAGCTGTTCTCTGTTCCGGTCATAAACGAAGTCCACAAGAGTTTCGAATGACTGTCTAATTAGTATATCTGCAATAAAATTAATGCACTCATAATCACTTGAAAAACTAAAAACTTAACCCACTATTCAAAATTAGTTTTTTCCTTTATTTTAACATCTTTTATGTAGAATTTCTTAAAATATTGCTAAAATATTTTAAGAATAAGTATTTTGCAAAGTAAAATAATTTTGGAAGGTGATCAAGTGATGACTTATGCTAGTTCTTATAACACATTCTAGGATTCTACAAAAATACCTTTCATTATTGGTCTACAAGATACAACTGTGATAACTGAAGCACTAACTTTGTAAAAATTATAAACAGAAAATTTTCACCACTACACAGGCAATGTTGTTTTTACAGATTCAATCCCTGTTATAATATCTTTCCTACAAAAAGGTTTCAAAGTTATATCATGCATTACTCATGCAAACTATAGCATTTGCACCAAAGTTAACATTTTCCTAAACTGAAAATGTATTTCCAATAATACTTACCTCCACTGACACTATAGCTATTTCTCGATCTCCAGGGTTTCCACTCTTTTCCCATCTAAGCATTCAAAATTCTTGCTCCAGTCTTTTTATACCCCACTCGAATGCCCTTGGAAAATTCTAATTTGGAAAACTTTTCCACCAACTTAGCATTTGCCAAGGGCAATTGAGTGGGGTATAAAAAGACTGGAGCAAGAGTTTTGAATGCTTAGATGGGAAAAGAGTGGAAACCCTGGAGATCGAGAAATAGTTATAGTGTCAATGGAGGTGAGTATGTTTTTGAACATTAGCTGGATGATAATAGGAGATTTGTGTCAACAAATCTCCTAAAAGTTATTGGTAAGTTCACGGCAAAAAGCCTTTTGTACCATATGAACACAAGGATAAGATAAGCTTTAGAAATACTGCTACAGTTTGATACATCCTGTATGATTTACATGTAGCGCATCAGATACACTTTAGAATACTGCTAGTTTGATGCGTCCTGTATGATTTACATGTAGCACATAAGATACACTTTAGAAATACTGCTAGTTTGATGCGTCCTGTATGATTTACATGTAGCACATAAAATACACTTTAGAAATACTGCTACAGTTTGATACATCCTGTATGATTTACATGTAGCACATAAAATACACTTTAGAAATACTGCTACAGTTTGATACATCCTGTATGATTTACATGTAGTGCATAAAATACACTTTAGAAATACTGCTAGTTTGATACATCCTGCATGATTTACATGTAGTGCATAAGATACACTTTAGAAATACTGCTACAGTTTGATACATCCTGTATGATTTACATGTAGTGCATAAAATACACTTTAGAAATACTGCTACAGTTTGATACATCCTGTATGATTTACATGTAGCGCATAAGATACACTTTAGAAATACTGCTACAGTTTGATACATCCTGTATGATTTACATGTAGTGCATAAGATACACTTGACTGGGAGAAAACTACAGTAGGGTGTATGACTAAAATCCTTATGCATCACTCTATATAATGATAGCTTTAGTAAGTTATATATTCAGGTAGTTATTCTAAATTTGACCCTCCCATTTTTCCTGATATTTTGTGCTATTTTGAAATCACACATAAGAATCAGAAAAGTTTGTGTTGAACATCACACAAAGCTACACAAGTCCTTAATTTAGCAGTGAAAGGCTTGAGGGAAGGCAGCTAGTCATCACCATCCACCACCAACTCTTGAGCTACTATTTTACCAATGAATAGTGAGATTGACCGTCACATTATAACACCCCCACGGCCGAAAGAGCGAGCATGTTTGGAGAGGGCACGGATTCAAACCCGTAACCCTCAGAAATGCAAATCAAAAAAGCCAATTCTCTATAGAACCATTATGAAACTAGTGTATAAAACAGCTTATAGAACCTTGTCAAAATTTGTGATACATCGTACGTAGAAGTATACATATTGAGACTCATATGTCTGTGTAGCTATATATATATATATATATAGATATATCAATAAATAGTTCTAATACATTACATTAATTGTAAATAGGTAATCAAATCAGCACTATACGACAATAATGAAATTAATACAAAGCACTCAACTTCTAACCCCTAATTGATTCTCCGTGGCTGCTAACTAGTTTGACATCTGCGTTTGGATCATGTCTGATAGATGGAATATCCCAATGCTTTTGGGAGCTATGATCACAGGCATTTTCTGTTATAAGTTAATGGTAATGAAAGGATTGGGAATGGAAATTTTTTTTACACTTTTCTTTGAAGTTTCATTGTGAATGTTTTGGCTTTGATCTATTTAGCTATCTGTGTGTGTGTATAAATATATATATATATATGGTATTTTTGGACTTGTAACATATCGAGTGCATGGCCATCTTATCACTCCAACAAAAAAGATGCTCAGGGACCTAATACATGAAAACAAAATGCAGTGATTTATCATTGGTTAAATGACAGACAGAAGACTGTATAATGATGGTTTGGATAGAAATAATATTGAATATCAAAACAAATTCAAAATGTTAAGGTCACTGGTTAAAAAATGTGAGTAGAGATTAACACACATGTAATTAATAAATTAGCATCTGGAACCTTAATTCTAATATAGAAGATACAGACAATACGTTTTGGCTTATCCAAACTCCTTCGGTGTTGAAACATGTCTGTCTAAAACTGCTCTCATAATCTAGAATCTCTCACTTCATCTAATCAATCACAAAACTGTGGATCATAAGAATCCAGAAATAAATCTCTTCCATGTAACTGTTGTCAACAGCCCCATAACCATCTCATGAAATAATGTACAACATCCTTGACTGACTCATGTCATAGACAGTTGTACCTAGGTTTGAATTAGAACAAGACCTACTGAATTTATTAGATTTTGCAGGTCTAATCTAAGGAGATGTCAGAGTAGTATCTATTCGATCTTAGTGGCTTTTTAAAGAGTTAAGACTTGTGTTAAGGTGTAATTTGATCATGTTAACTTACTTATGAAATGTAATCATTAATGCATGTTTCCATGTTCTGTGAAAGTATTTTTTGTTTATGTTTAGTTCCATTTGAAATTTAACCATTATTATTATTTATATTTTGTTTATGCTTTATTTAATGATTAAACAAAGTTGAATTTAGATTATTGTAAGTCTGATCCTCCCATTTTTTTCCTGATATTTTGTGGTATTTTTAAACACTTTTTTTGTTGTCATAAATAATTTTTTTCACTTCTTTTTACTATATCTTCCAGTTATTTCTTCTACTGTATAATTTTATGCTAATTAAGTTTCATGGCAATATATATATGTTTGAATGAGCTTTAAACCTGGTTTTATTACACTTAATTCACCTGAAAAGACGTCAATAAAAACAGACTGGGAACCTTTTTCTGACACTGGATTTGGCTCCAGTTTTGTTGTCCCAAGTGTGCCTTAAGAATAGTTACAACTATTAAAAAACTTGTTCGAAAAATAAGTTAATAAAAAATGATTTGTTCATAGTCTATAGTCAAATTTAAGTTCCAGTTTCTTTTTCCAGTAACTTTTTTTATTAAAGTTTTTGCTAGATATAAAATTGAGAGCTAAAAAAAAGTCTTACCAAGCACATCAAGAAATGCTTGCGTGTCTGAGACCCGAATAATTGATGCAATAAGATTTTTCACTTGTTTATGCCACTCCTCTTGGAGAAGATGAAGAGAGACAAGAGTATCATTAGTGTATTCTTTAGCATAAGACACTGTTAAAGGCACCAGTTCAGGATCTAGAAGCTCCAACATTTTAACACATGTGAGTACTGACTGCAACCCTATAATTAAACAATATGAACTTATAGATTTGACACTGAATTTTAAAAATCCTCATCATTAAATACATACTTATTTTGTTTTAATTTTTAAGTCATAATTCAACTCAAAGAAAAGCGTATTGCTCTATTTTATTCTAGAAAATAGTATACACTGAATTCCATCTTGTCTGTATATTTTACACAAGTTTCTTTTGAGATATATTTAAATCTTTTTATACAACCATTAATTTTGAACATGCTACAGAATAGTGGTTAAAATGTCTAATAACATTTCTAATGAATTATAAAAGGATAAAACACTATAACCCAAGCGCTTCACCATTGAAAGTGGGTATTCTCGGAGTACTCCCCCACCCCCCCACACACACAGCAAAATTCTGAGAATTGGACCACGGTCCTCCTCCTTGCCCTGAAAAGAACCGACAGACGGCCTCCTCCCCACCCAAAATTTTTAGCCCTGGTGCCATATCACACCCGACGCATCCTCGAAGGTGCCGCTGCCTGATTTTCTAAGCTTAATGTATGCTCCAGACCCGGTCAAACCAAATCCAGGACAAACTATAATACTCACGAATATGTACAAAAGCTTCTGAAGCCTGGTTGCCCTGAAACACGTTGAGGTTGAAAGGACGTAACCAAAATTACCACCCAGAGTATAAGTAACCCGAGCGCTTTCGAAAGGTGGACTTTTCTTCTTCAGGGGCAAACAGAATTATGAGATAAACTACAGCTTACAATCGTAATGTGTGAACATGATCCATTTGGTGACCCAGCATCATAAGAATTAAAATCTCTCACAACATTTGCTCCATTACTTTTTATCAGGAGGTGAATACTTATATTTTTGGTTTCTCATATATTCTTTAGGTTTTCCAACATTCTTTCTACTGCATTATCAGTGTGAATTCCAGGAAGAGCAGCATGCTGTAAATCCACATGTTCTGTGATCCAGTTTCCTGTGAAATTATTTGCTACTGAATATGACCAAATAAACTTATGATAAAGAGACAGCATGACATTCAAAATATGACCAGAAACTGCAGTCTTGCACTTTTTGTATATAGTTGAAACACTTATTTTGCACAAGTAGGTTTTTATCAACTGAATAATTCTTCTGATGAGTAACAACTGAATACAGTTGGTTATTAAATGCAGTTATTCCACCGATGATTTTTAATGTCCAATAGTGTGGTTTTGTTTGAGGTAACATTCCTGAACAGTTTATTGTTTCTTCAACATTCCAAACTTTGAGACTGCACTCTTAACTTTCAATATTAGATCCAATAAGCTTCAAAAACTTTTTGCACATTCTTGTAGTCTCGAGCGTGCTTATGTTTCAGGTGATCTTGCATTGGGGTAGTACAGTTGCTTTCTTTTTGCTAGCACATGAAATTAACATGTTAAACAATTTGCACTTCACTTTAAAATCACCAGCTATTTTGGTATAGAGAACACAAGAATAATTCTCAAAATCACTTCTTTGCTTTGAAAGTATCTGATTTGCCTCCATTGATAAGTGCTTTGCCACTTTTGTACTTTATTTTTCAAAATGACAACTGATAACCAGTTATTTTGTTTGTTCTCACTGTAGATGAGGCTGTACTGATAGTTTGCTACTTTTCTGCACATATAAAGACATTTAAATCTAAGTGTAATAACTTATTTACACATTACCAGCATTACTAAAATGGAGTGATATGGCATGCTGACTAGCTACATTCCAAGATATTATTGGTGCTGAAACTTTAAAAACAAAGTATTAATCAATCTGATATAAATAATAACTTCTTTAATTCATAACAAGAACATACTACCTGCTACACATAAATCTCCCACATGTCAGTATAAACTCTCTCACCATCCCTACTGTAAATTAAAAATCACCACAGGAAAACAAACTTTGACAACATACCTGGTGTATCTGTAGAACAGCCAACAACAAATCTGGATACTTGGTACATGGAATCAGCATGACGAAGAAATTCCTGGATCAAATGTTCCAGAGTAGTAAAGAAAGGTTCATGGACTGACTTCATGTTTATCAAGTTGTCTTTCTTTGCACAGCTCTGTAAAGGTAAAATAAGTTATGTTTATTTATAAACATGCATACATTCTTCTTATAAAACTTGATTATTTTGAACAAGGAGATCCAAGAGAATCTCATTATAACTGTTACAAAAAACCATTCCTACAAAAAAAAAAATAAGTCAGACGGATACATTTAAAATACAAATATCCATTTTTAAATTCATCTATTCAACAACTGAAATTAAGGTACAAAACCATTAAAATATTTCTATTTCCAAAATATAAACAATATCATAAACATGTTCTAACATCTAATGCATCATAAATACAAAACATGAAAGTTATTTCTAAGATATAGTTACCTTTAGAAACACAAAATGACTTGGGTTAAATTTTTTTGTTCAAATGCAAGCTTAATATGTAATAAATAATAGACTTACTTTTCCAATTTCAAATGCAACACCTAGCATGCGATCTAGAGGTTCTGTAGTTTCTGTGAATATTTCTGCAATCAATCGAAGTACCCCTTCATTCACATGACGTTCCAACATTTCTATTTCTTCTACCACCTTTTCCCGTTCTCCATCAAAAGAATCACTAAGAGAAAAAATGACTGAAAACAACTGACATCAAATGTCTCCTTTTTTAACAGGTAAATAATTAAAATGTGTTATCAATAAGCACTTTTTTTTTAAAATAAGGATTACAGACTATAAGGAAGTATTCTTTACAAACAGTTATTACAATATTTAGAAAGTGTAAAAAATCATTCCTTATTTCAATAATTTCATATAGTGTTTTTTATTAATATAATCCAGGTGCACAATAACTTCACAAGAAACTTTTTATCAAAACACTACATATAAAAGCAGATTATTGCACATTGACACAAGGCATCCAGGAAAGCTGTGAAAGTCTCAAGCTGAGCAGGAAGTCATTGTGAAGAAGTTGAAGGCTTCGTGTTGAGATATGTCGTGACTGTAGTGGTGTTGTGGTGTTCACTGAGCAGAACTATGATGAAAGCACACCAGATCGAAGAAATACATGATCTGAATTCTGGATAAAAGTCCAGAATTTTGTTAAAAGTCTTGATGTTATTAAAGACTGAATACGGTTAAATTTGGTCAGGTAAAAAAAGGGGTTGTACTATACTACGCAAAATGGTACCTTTTTCAGGGTTGGGATCATAGGATCCTACATTCATGGAAAGAATTACCAATACATAAATTTACTAGTGATAAACTGTGCCTACAATGACCTGCTTCACAACAACACAGTTTATGATAGTGAACTGGTAAAACATGAAATCTTTGGACTACATCATATACGCAGCACAGTATTTCAAGGATACATCAATTAATCCTCTGGATATGAATATGTTTTTATGTTTAGCTTTCAATTAAGATACGAATGATTTCACCTGCAATTTGGTAGGGAAGGTCAAAGCATCATGATAGTGAGCAGTAAGATGAGTAGACAGGAACACTTGTAAAGCAGCTAAAGCCATAATACTGTACTCGGCTTGCTGCATAATATCTACCAAGGTGATACTAAACAGTTCCTGAATATCTCTCTGTGTCATTTGGAGACTTCCATGCTTCTTGTGCTTGGCCGTTAAGCTCGTGACGTGCTGACGGGCTTCAGTCACCTTAAACACTTCAAATTACTTTGCACAGCCCCAGCATTAAAAAGAGTATGGGAAATGCCTTATTTTTAGCCAATAAAAATGTCCAAAAAATTTAAGTTCAAATTATGAAAAACCAGATTGGGTAGTTTTTTTTTTTTCTAAAAAAAAAATTTACCCCCACTGGCTCATGAGAGGTCTGTTAATATTATATAAATTTTAATTTCTTAATTTCAAATGGATATATCTAAATAAGTTCTCAAGTTTCACATCTCTACATCATGAGACACTTGTCTGTTCTGAATACCAACAGATCACATGCCACAAATCCTTGAATTCCCAGTTCAGACAAGCTAACTAATTGGTAATGCCTGACCTAATAATCAGCTCAGACATATTCAATATGTATTATCAGAACTATTTTTTCTGTTGATGCTTGAATATAACTGTAAAAATACCTACACAGGTAGTTCACACAAAGACACATCAGCCTGTTGATACATCAACAGTTTAGTCCTCTGCTGCAAAACCTACAAAGAGAAAAATTATTAGGATGTCAGTAACTTCACTTGAACAAAGATATAACAGCAAAATTGTTTAGAAATTCCAGCTGTTGTTAAAATGTTACCAACCTACAGTTTTTCTGACTTTTATATTTCTCTGCTATTAGGTTCTAGTACACCAACTCTAAATTTGAATTTTCCTATCTCAATAATATTAATGTCCAGTACAAGGTTCTTAATTTAATAATTTTTCCTATTAATAAATAATTACCTAAATGTATTTTAAAGTCAACTGTTACGAGTAGCTATAAATTTGCACTTTGTTACATTTCATTTTAACATCAGTGGATCAAATTTTGATTTTCAAATATTATTATCAATGACAAACTTAAATATGCTCAAAATTATTATGTCAAGCATAAATACTGTAAATATAAATATAGGCCTGGCATGGCCAGGTGGTTAGGGCGCTCGACTCACAATCTGAGGGTTGCGGGTTCGAATCCCCGTCACCCCAAACATGCTCGCCCTTTCAGCTGTGGAGGAGTTATAATGTGACGTTCAATCCCACTATTCGTTGGTAAAAGAGTAGCCCAAGAGTTGGTGGTGGGTGATGATGACTAGCTGCATTCCCTCTAGTCTTACACTGCTAAATTAGGGACGGCTAGCGCAGATAGCCCTCGTGTAACTTTGCACAAAATGCAAAACAAACAAACAATATAAATATATATTTCCATTAAAAAACACATAAAAGGTTAATGCTTTATTGCGTGATGATTTATGTTTATCCAAACTCATCAAGCATTTGAATTCTGAACTGCTACATCCATGTAAAATCTTGTATTAATCCTTATGTTTATCACTAAAAGAAAAAAATAAAAGAATATAAATTATTTTTAATTACAAGTAAACACTTAATATTAGTTTTTTTTTAAATGTTCATATCTTTTTATGATTCCAAACTAGATTTTCTCCATTTTGATACTTGAATTTTCCATTAAATTTTATTTTGAAAAAAAACAGATGGTTTAAATCTTAAAACATCAGTGATTTGTATTTGTAATAACTGTCAGCAGATGGTGTTAATGAAATGCTAAAAAAAAAATTGAACTCTTTTTGGTTAGCTGATGGCTCAACTAATGTAGTTTTAATGCTGAAATAAAGGAAATTATTAGTATATGAATGGCAAAACACAATCTCTGTAACTTCAAATTTTATTCAAAGAATAGCAGGAAATCTATTATCTAACATATGCCAATGGTGATTTAACAGCACAAGTCAACATCTCATTTATTAACAGTATTATTTTAATCCCAAACAAGAAGTATTTGCCATAACATCTATTAAGACCTATTATCTTGTGTGCAACCTAATACTAACCCTATGACAACTTTGAGTAATTTGTTCTCTAGTAACTCCTTTTAACAGATGAGCAACAGCCATACTGAATTTTACTATTTCTTCAACTTGGTCATTTTCATGTAGAACATCTGTCATTCCTTCAGGAACAGACAAGTCTTCTAAAACCTGAAACACAAATATATAATCCAAACAACTACCCTAAAGAAAAATAATAGACTTTTAAAAGATAATTTCATGTTCTTAATCTATTCTTTCTTAAATGTATTTATTAGATAAAATTTTTTCAGTACAACCTAAATATAAGGCCAACAGAACATCAGGCAGTGCTACAAGGTAACAGCCTCATACTTTTCTTAACTAAAACATTCAATAATTTGCTGTTGAAATTGATATACAATATTTTTTCAGTACAACCTAAATATAAGGCCAACAGAACATCAGGCAGTGCTACAAGGTAACAGCCTCATACTTTTCTTAACTAAAACATTCAATAATTTGCTGTTGAAATTGATATACAATATTTTTTTTCCAAAAGTTATGACATTTTTAAAAGCATTAAATTGTCTTTGTTTATTTGAAAAGATTTACATTTTTTTAAGATATCTTGGACTCTATAGAAAAAAAATCATTTGCAAATACACCAAAACATGATTTTCAAACTAAGCACTTTGTAAAATTTTTAGCTCTCCGCAGAGAAACATTTTTCATTTCTTCTTCTTCTTCCAAACACTCTTCAATCAACAGCCATTACTTCATTTCTTGGCAGATTGACTTGAAACTTGGTAGGATTATACCTTGGTTCAATACACCCAGACTCCTTTTCCATTCTTTTGATTTAGGCCTTTTTAATGATTTTATTGGGTCATAGGTCAAACAACCCCAAAAAATATATTTCAGGCTCGTGTGCAGTAATATTTAGAGACGAAAATTGTCACAGATATATATTTTCATGCACCCAACACATTATCATATAAAAAAGTTGGATTTGTCCATTTTGTGTCCTTTAAGGGGGTCAGAGCTCACAAAAAAGCATAATTTTGGGGTTTTTTGACAATTGCTCCACAGTATTTCAGCCAATTTACAATGGATTTGGTATAAAGATACCTTCTTGAAGGTCCCAAGCAGTGATAGACTGTTTTCAATTTTTGGTGCTTTCACAATTTTCCTGGTGTCAAAATTGGCCATGTTGGGATGGCATGGTGAAGACATGTTGCATTTGCCTACAAATATTAGCCTCTTTAATCTATGTTTGTTTTTGGTGGTTTATATTATTTAGTTTCAAGATATGAACAATCTTTTCCCAGGTTAACAAAAATGTAGAGGTTATATTTTTATATATATATAAAATAATGTCCTGTAATGATTGTTTTTGAGAAATCATGTTAGGATAAGGTAAGCTAAGATAAGCAAAATTCTTAGTGAAAAGTTAAATCTTGTTTCCAAAGTTTTATTATTTCAATCGTTAAAGGAAGTGATTTACACTGGCTATTTAAGTAGTACGTACCTTGTCAGTGAAGAGTGGTTTGACATTTCAAATCAATATCTTACAATATACGTTTTGTAAGTTACAGCAGAATTGATAAGAGTTGTAAGGTTCCAATTAGAATCAAATAAATTAAACAATACCACTGAGACCACGTATTTACCAAAATATGAATTTTTTAAATTTACTAAAGGACTAGATAAAAAATGTGGTGTTAAAAAAATATAATAAATCTAATACTAATGTCTTATGATAAGTATAATTAATTATATCTTTGCATAGGTGTAATGTATATTTATTATGTGCGATTTTCTGTAAAAGTTTGTCTATTGATATCGTGCTCTATGTTTAACAACTGTCAGTGCAAGATTAGGAGAAACAAACAATAAACTTTCAATTTCTTTCTTTTTTTTCTTTAATTAGTCTGGTTGTGTTTTCTTACAGTACATACACTAGTCCTTTTGATCTGATTTATTTTGGTATAATTCATGTTTCTTAGATGACTAAAATCTAAATTTAATCAAAATTATGATTAAATCAAATAATCAAAATTAGCATTTCTGATTTATTATTCTTTTTGATTATTCCAAGAATTAGTTAATTGAAATTCATATTACAGCAACTGTTACAAAAATAATCAACTAATTGGAATTTGTGTTTACAAGACATGATTATTACTGCTTTTTGTTATTTCAACAGTTGATTAATAGAAACTGGGTTAAATTTTAAAGTTCAAAGTCTTACCTTGTCAACAGTGAGGACAAAGTGTCCCATATCTTCAACATCGGAGTCCACTTTTGTTGTATCACAGAGACTATCCAATACAACCTCCATCTGTTGCGTCACCAGTTCTACACAAGCCTGAAACTATGTACGATTAGATCCAGTGCTCTCAAAAAATAAGGAAAATAAGTTTATTTAACATTAAGCTTTGAAAAAGCAAAGACTATATCACAATTTTAAGGTACTGTTGTAACCTGCCTTAGCTAAGTTAAAAAAACAAAAAAAAATCAAAGTAAATTATTTTCACATCCAAATATGAATTTTGTTTCTGATAATATGATTTTACTTTATAATATTTATATACTCTCAGAAAATGTTGATGCAATATTTTTGGGTTTCTAAACTACTTTTAGAGCAAAACATTAAAGCAATTTTCATATAACAGCATGTAAGCAAAATAAACCAATATAATGTCACACAGAAAACAAAAGGAGTGTATCTTACTAGGTTCTTATGTTTATTAAATGTTACATAATCTTCACTTGTGATTTAAATTAAGTTAATGTTTAACTCCATTTCAAGTTGGCTGAGCTTATACCAACATTTGTTGATGCAACAAATACCTCAGTCCAAACGGCTTTTGATACTTTCACCTTATGTGTGCTGAGTAGCTAAGTCAGATATCTGGCATAGCCATTCCAAATTTAAATCTGCTTACAATTCAGAAGCATTTGTCTCATACAGCATCACTCTTAACCAAATAGTGAGATCGCCTGTAACTTATAATGCCCTCACAGCTGAAAGTGCAGAGCAATTCAACAGCATATCATGCCTTCAACTTTGAACCATGACACACTAATCGTTAGGTCATGGGGCAATAGTCCCAAGAGTCTGGAACAAAATTCAGTCTTGTAAATAAGAGGTTAGTATAACAGATAATTATCTTTAAAGGCTGGAAAAGAGACTTTGAAAAAATATTAAGCTTGTTATGAAATACAGAGTTTACTACAAACTACTTTCTTCAAAAGCTTGACACGCACTTTAACCTTGAAATTTAATGTTGATTTTGAGATGCAAAATCTAATCTAAAACAAAACATGGATCAAAGAATGATAATTTGGTTTAAAGATTCACTATCATCAAATCAAATCTTATATTGAATTTGCTTTTACTAACAGCTTTGACAGATGGTATAGTTTGCAGTATGATAGCCTCTACTGTCTAGCTTCCTACATGTGAACTAACATTAGGCAGATGTAAAGCAATCTTAGTCATGCAACCAGAGGTAGTAACTTATCTCATATGAGCATGCCATTGCTCAGCCACAGGTAATCTTTTATCTCATGTGAGCCATACAGCTAAAACTACCTCATCTCACAAATCATGTTCTCACGTAACTGCAGGCAACATCTTATCTCCTGTCAGCTATGCAGTCAGAGATAGTATCTTATTTCATGTGAGCCATGCCTTTACTCAGTGTCAGATCTAACAATTGTTGGTCACTGTCAGTATAGTGCTTGTGTGACATTTTAAAGAAACTTCCACAAAATATCAAATGTTTAATGTCCACAATAATTCTTTCTAACGACTGTTGTACTAATTGTACACTTTGTTCAATATAGGTAACATCATTTTCATGTTAGTATAAGGAAACATAAAACAAAGTAAACAGTTTTTCAACTTAGCATAAGTAATGTTATTAGTTACCATATTTCCATCATTTAGCAATGAAAGAGTAGTTTGCATTTACAAGCACCAGGTCTGTCCATATTTATGATATCTATGTATGTTACAGACTTATAAACCAAAACAGTTAGGAAGGTAGGGGGTACACAAAAATGTCAAATACATGATATTACGTTCCTTCATTCTGGAGGCTTGTAAAATACTTTTTAAAACAAGATGAACCTACCTTACTACGTGCACAGCCAGTAAAATGAGGTAAAAGTTTAAGAATCCTAGCCAAAAATATACCACTACTCTGTAAAAGAAGTAAAGCCACTTTCATCTGATGTTGGTGAACTTTCAGCGTCAAATCCTTATGGTACTGATCACCGAGAATCAAGAGCTTAGTCAGCAACTGGTAAACTTCCTGTGTTAAATAAAACAGTTTTGTCTTGTTTGGAAATATTATTTTACACACCATAATAACACTATAATATTTGTTTTCATATAAAATCTATAAATGCACAAGTGTTTATACACGTTTTATAAACAAGTTTTTAAGGTGGATAGACACTGTTTAGTGACAAAACCAGACCGAGCAGTTATTTGATCAAACTATAAATTATATATAAATGGATAATTCTTTAGTTTTCTTTTTTATTTGAGTAACACTGAAAGCATACATTACAATAGGTTGTTTTAGCATCAGTATTACTTGAAATTTTCCAGTTAAATGGTTCATATAGTCAAACTTTAGAAATTATTTCAAATTAATTACAATCATCCAAACCTGAGCTCAAATTACTTATCAAAAAATTAATTACAATTAGCTGCCACCATCATAATTGTGGTCAAACCTCACTGCAGAATTAACAATCCCTAATATCACAATTACACATTTAATTACACTTGTACAACATCTTCTAAATTATTTAAGGTTGTTTTAACTTGACAAAAAGTAAAATAAAACAACTTAATAAAAAACATTTTAAGTAAAAATAGTGAATTCCTTAAAAGTTCAAAATTCAACCCTCACTAAATAGTGACTTATTTTATTTTACTATATATTTCATTGCAAGAGATAATCTTAACTTCTTACACATTACAGTTTAAAAATAAAATTCAAGTTATACAAATAATTTCAATAAATCAGAATTTTCCATACTTAAAAAAAATCCAAATTATCTATAGTGTTTCAAACTATGCTTTTACATTTGTTCACAAAACAGTGAAGTAAATGGTGGTGTATTTTTACCTTTAACTTAGAAATATTTACTTGTTCCTCTGTAGTAGATATTTTTTTCAAATTCTCCTGAACGTTCTGTACAAGATACCGTAATTCCTTCTCTTCTGTCTTCTTAACTAGATAAAGTAACTGAAGCCAAATGAAACAGAAATGTTTAAAACATTCGCATAAATCAGGGCTAATACAGCACTTACCTAAAACATTCCTAATGTTTTTTTTAGTTAAGGTTTAATTAAATTTTGACATTACAAATATACATTCTCCTTTGACAGATTTCAGATTTCTGAAAATGTTGATGCTTTTTTATGAAATCAGTACTGATGTGATAAGTAAGCTCGCACTTTTCTGGCAGAGCTTGACTACCTACAGATTATTAACAAATCGGTACTGATATGATACCCAGGCTTACACTATTTTATGAGAATTTAACTATCAACAGATTATCAAAAGTTTAATGCACTAGTGTCTACTGAACAATAACCAACACTAACTCAACCAATTTTAAGGCAAAACTGCAAATGTTAGGAACATGAAATCTAATGGTAACAGTAAATCAAATTCTGTTTCCAACTTTTTTAAGTCCATAGTAGATTATTTCGCATTCTTTGCATTCATTACATCCCAATAATCAGCATTAAAAGAATTTTGTATGTTCTGAATATAATTCTGAACATTTCATAGGTTGTTAAGTCAATGTGATAATATCACTCAAAATAATTTAATTCATGTTAATCAATACAACTTAGTGATTCCTTTAAGCCTTTAGTTTTATTATTATTAGTGGTATTAAAGACTTGCTATTCATTTGAATTTCACTTTGTTGTTCACAAAGGTAATAACAACTCATCATATCACGTTTTGTTTTCCATGCTATTGATATTGTCAGTCCCCCTTTGTCTTAACAATGAAAACAAAAACACTTGATATCAGGTTGGATTTTCCATGCTAATGATATTGTCAGACCCCCTTTGTCTTAACAATGAAAACAAAAACACTTGATATCAGGTTGGATTTTCCATGCTAATGATATTGTCAGTCCCCCTTTGTCTTAACAATGAAAACAAAAACACTTGATATCAGGTTGGATTTTCCATGCTAATGATATTGTCAGTCCCCCTTTGTCTTAACAATGGAAACAAAAACACTTGATATCAGGTTGGATTTTCCATGCTCATGATATTGTCAGTCCCCCCTTTGTCTTAACAATGGAAACAAAAACATTTGATATGAGATTTGTTTTTCCATACTGATGATATTGTCAGTCCCCCTTTTGTCTTAACAATGGAAATAAAAACACTTGATATCAGGTTTGGTTTTCCATACTAATGATATTGTCAGTCCCCCTTTATCTTAACAATGAGGTTTTACAGTGGGTTTAACTTTACTTAAATTATGTAGATTTTAGCTTATAAGAATGTTAATTTCTTTCCTCTATCCACTTTGGATTTTTTATTGGAACACAAAATTTTGCAGCGAATGTTGCTGTTATCTGTTTAATCAGGTAAATAAGAATTTTATTAATAGTGGAATAGCATGATTTTAAATTTCAGATACACGGGTAATGCCGCACACTGTTGATGTAGCAAAATAAAACCATCTCACGGTAATGGTTATTGTTATTTATGCCTTTTTCTTCAGTGAGCTATGAATATAAGTTGAAACTGGAAAAATATATAATACATAGCAATACATAATATTATATTATATTATGTTTTATAATATAATATTATATATTATATTGTATAATATAATACATAATATTATATTATAAAACACCCTAGAAATGCCAAGTATTGAGATTTGCTCATGCAACCCTAGCATTGGTACAGGTATAGTTCCAAGAGTGGGTGGGGGAAATTTCTGTAGCTGGGGTTTGTACAATGAAATTATATCCCTGAAAAAATGTAGGGGACGTGCATCATCACACAAAAGTTATACCTATGAATTATTCTTATGGATGCCATAGTTATCAGTTAACATATGAAACTCCCAAATCATGTGAGAGTACGGGAATACAGCATAACTGAAAAGTATTGAGAAAATTGTTATATTTACGTACGACCACATCAGTAGCCTCACAGATATGAACCAGGCAAGGAATGATATTTTTCAAAAAAGTAAGCCATTTTATATCATTCCACCAAATCATACAGCTAATAGTGAGCAAGTGAAAAAAGTTGCAGTACCTTGCACTATTATTATTTACTTTGGCCAATCATTAAAATAATTTTTTCCCTACTTAGATATTGGTTTAATAATACAATAGTCTAACTTTGAAACATTAATTCCTTCTTTCTTATCTTTAAATCTGGGAAAATCCTCCAAGCTTTATTTGTTTTCAATGACAGTATATTTCTTTTCAACAATTTTTTACAATAAAGCATTTTTATATTTCAACTGGAGTGACAGATGCTTTGCTTAACATTTTTGTTCAGAATTTTTTAAAAGTTTTTCAATTCTTTTAGCCTGTAAGTTTGTTATGCTAACAACAGAAACAAATGAAAACACTACAATGTTCCTTTAAAATAAATTATGTTGGATTCAAGTTGGATGCTCCAGAAAATATGTAATTTATAGGCTAAATTTTAATATTCATATGCCAACAAAATATTTAAAAATAGAAATCCCATAGAGCAGTGCTTCTCAACCTTTTCCAATATCATTCACCCCTATAAGTTTTTTACAATACTTCACTCACCCCAGTTTGAAAAAAAAAAAAGACAAGAAAAGTACTAAATTAAAATGCAAAATTATTTATTATGAGTTAAATATACATCAAACTACAACTAGAATGAATACAACATACAATATACAAAACCCCTGGGTGAACCATTCACCCAGTTGAGAAGCATTGATATAGAACTCCCATACCCAGTTTAATTACATGTGGTCAACTTTCATACTGGTAGCACCAAGAGGTCAATTCTTTGTCCACACAGCTCCATTTTTTAAGGCATTCATTCTTACAACTCCAGTAATTTCAGACAGTGTACTTTTCAACAATAAGACACTTTTAATGTATATGTAGTTCCTAAATACCAGAAAATAATGATGTTGAGAATATTATTTAAAAAGTATAGAATCAAAAATACAAGGTGAAGCAAAAGTAACTTGCTCCCAAGTCTTGAGAAATAATATTTATTTTTTAAACTGTTATACATTAAAAACTAGCCAATGCAATTTGAAATAATTATTATAGGGTATTTTAATCATTGCCAAGAGAATGAGATTAACTACTGATATTTTTAATGTTCAATTATTATACTGAATAAGATCTTTGGATCAAGTTACTTTTTCACCACCCTGTGTGTATATTCAGTAACCACAAAAAGACATCTATAAAGATCTAAGCTGTTCTTTAGATACAGTAATTATTTCTCCTTTTAGGAGACATTATCTTTCATATTAAAATATTAAATGGTTTAAAACTTGCATGCTTAATGTGTGTACAAAATGAAAACTGTAACTAAGAATATGATGCTATATACAGAGATCTTACAAACCTCAATAGTGTCTTTAAAAAGTGATGTCATCTGATTGGCCAGCACTTTCCACATCACACTGTCACTAGGATTGGCTACCACTTTCTTAAACTGAAATCCAATGGTTTGTTTTACAGTCTTTAATTTATCAGCAACATTACTAATGATATCCAGGTCTTCCTGCAAAAAAAAATATATATATATATAGAAAAGAATTTTACACAGTATTTCGCTTAACTAAGATTTCAGGCTTTATTGTATTTGTGCAATTTTAACACAGCCAAGATAAATTTAGAAGGTGACAAGTAAACTCAACTTATGTGTATCACATCTATTTACCACTGTAAATATAATTGCATTAAGCTACATATAAAACATGTTGTAAAACCCACTTTGTATTAATTTTCATTTTTAACATACCTCACATTCCTGCATATTGTTAATTAGTAATAAAGAAGCTTTATTACTAATGCTTTGAAGGTGCTCTAGAACTCACTTTATAAAGATATTCACCAGCTGAATTTTTGCATTTTTAGATGAAATCCCTTGTGTAAAATAGAACAAATTTTTACCCATTTTACAGAAATAAACAAAAAATCACATCATACCACAGGATGTGCTGAAGGTTCTTGCGATATCTTCAATGCCATTTCTACCGAAGATATCAAATGACTGAATTTCCCTGATGCTTTAAGTGATTTGCTTAATTCATCTGTTGCATCTAAATATTGGTTATTCTTGATTGGAAAAATTTCCAATATCTGTGATAAAATACAAAGAAAAAAATCTGTAAAGCAACACTGACTACTACAGAATTAGTTTTAAAGCTTTTCAAGTCTTATATTCTATATTTATAATTTCTTTTTCTTTTTTTCTACTACTGTATAAAGGCACTCCAAACAACTCTACACCAATTGAAATTCCAATGTAAACCTAGAATTTTATCATTTTATAATAATACGTGTTATTGAGTTGACACTAACTATATCTGTCACTGACAAATTTATGGGCAAAACTTAATCTGTATCAGCTGTAGGCTGTATTTCAAGTTTCCATAAAACAAAAATGCAAAAAGAATAAAATCATAAAAAATGTTTCATTCAGAAAAATGTAAAATATTTAAGTTTTAAACTACTAACAACATTTAACAGAGGAACTAATCCTACAGCTTGCTGAAAATTTCAAAGCAGCAAAGACTTGCCACAGATAAGTTTGTGGATAAGTACAAAATAATAATAAAACAAGTAGCTTGAATGACACAGTTCTGAAACCAGTAATATCATGAACACAACTAGACTTTTAAAATGTGCTTCTCAATGTACTATATTTTAATATATACTATAGATAACACAAACTCACTGAGTCCTATAACTATAGTGTAAGTTGATGTTACTATTGTCAATCAATATAAAGATTCATACTGTGTCGACTGCAATATTTTCCAATTTACAAAAAAAAAATTAAATTAACATACTACATGTAGGGTTACTGTTATTGTGTGAGTCAAAGTAATCAGAATATATATATATATATATATTTACAAAGAAAAAAATGGATTATTTCTCAAAAGAGGCAATGTAATAATCCTCATAAATAAATTATCTGCTTAAAAGATTGTATGCTTAATTCTATTCAGAATATAAACTCCAAGTGGCAACTCAGCCAACATTTTACATTTTTAATTTTAGGCTCTACACCATGCAATTTGTAAATGAAAACAAAAATATTATAACAGCTGATATGGAGCCCAAATTTTAAGATAAAGTACATTTCAGTTGGGGCCTATAGTTGTACTAAGTTACTAAGTAGCCATATACGCTAAATAGTTTAAAATACTATATCCATTTTTAATTTATTTCAAAATTCCACCCTTTCCATAAGCAACCAAGACTTGATTATTCTAGACTTTAAGTAATGGTATTACCTAGTATGTTTATAATTAGTAATACTAATAGTATTATTATAATTCATACTATAATAATAGCTAACTTACACCAGTACTAGTAGTAGTAATACTTACAGCCTAAACTGAATAAACATGTAGTGTAGTGTAAGTTGTAACTTCAAAGTTCAAATGTAAATTACTTACTTGGGAACATAAATTTGAAATTATGTGAAGCTTAGAACGAGAACATAAAATGACTAAAAGCTTGTCTTCCATCTTCACTATCAATGAATGGTGAATTTTAAAAATTAGAAAATAAATATTGAAAATGAATTTAATCTAAGTAGATAATAACCTACTAATCTACTTTCTAAATTTTCGTAATGGTTTCATAATATAAACAGTCATCAAAAATATACTATATAATTTTCCCGCGACTGAAACTACAGTGCCCTCTGCAATATTTCTCCTCCGAAATGCTAACTTAATGTTTCGTTTCAACCCTCAACTAGCACGAAAACAGTGTATTTTGAAATTAGCTCAAATAGGACTGATTATTTTAGAAAATGTTTGGTTTTGCTCAAAATTAATTTAAAATATGAAAATAAAAGAGCCAGTATAACCACACTCCATTATTCTTCTGTTCAACAGATAGAATTATAAAGTACCTATTGTTGCGTCATCGAGGTCACGTGACTGGTGTGGCGCCCTCTAGTTTCTAGAACTATCTTGTTTCTTCATGAAT